TCATTTTAAACAGTGATAAATCACTTTATTTTGAATCATGGGAATCTAGTAAATCATTTTATAGTAAAATTATACTAGATCGAGACTTATGATATACATTACATTAAGGAGTAAGAGGAGCTGAATATCTGTTCTGTGGACTGGTAATGAATTTTGTAAAATAATTACTAAAAAAAAAATTACTTTATTTGGAAAACATTCAGTTAGCACCCGCAAGATATCTTTGCTGCTAATAAATACTTAAGTAATTAGCAGCAACAAATTTCACACATCACCAACTATCACTCTACACGTATTACTGCTCTTACTTATTGAACTTCCGCAAGGTAACATCTGATTCTATCAAAATATTACTTTAGTTTATAATAAGAATACTTTAATAAGCCAACATGTTTTATGTCTTCGATGGCTTAGAAAAAAGTTTTATAACTCATCAGTAGGTAAATCACGATCATGCCCCACTTGCAAATATGTTTAAATATCTCACAAAAAGTAAACAAAGTTTCTATATAGTATTAAAGAATAAAAAACAAACCATTTCCATAACATATCAATTATGTAGGGCGCATCGGAAGCGAGTAGTTTAATAATATTCTTGATTATAACCAGACTCATACGCCTGAAAAGATTGTTATTATTGAAAATTCATCCCAACGGAAACAGGACAAAAATTTTAGAGTAAACCGAATTATCAAATCCAGTTCACGTCGGCGCAGGTCAGTTTAAAAACGCCTATAATACCCAGTACTATAAGTATTGGAATTATCAAAGCCCAAAATCGAAAAATAGCATTATTAATGGAACGCCCTGGCCCTACTTACTTTTATATATCCATTTTATTTTAATATGCATACTTTACCACTATAACGACATAATTATGTTAGTTAACAATTAAGTGTTTTTTCCGCTTGTTTATTTATTTGTCACACATAATTAATTAATATTTTTAACATTAATATTGATTTGATAATGACATGGTTTATGTAAACATTGTTACTACTGTTGAGAGCTAATAATTTGCTTGTGTGCACTTTCTGTTTTGTTATACAAAAGACGTGCAAAAATGCTTTCATAATTTATTGGGTAAAAAGGATATTTTGTCTTCAGTTTTATAATATGTAGGGTCATGTAGACCAAGAGTGAGAGGACAACAAATTATATGAAAAAGATAAGAGTCAGAGTGGTAAATTATTTAGGACATTGAGATGGAGGAGTTAACCAGGACTGACTTAAAAAAAATACCAAATTTCTAGATACGCGCGCACTTCTTGCTGCGTATATTTTCCTGCAAGTAAGCTTTCTATATTTACACATGTATAAAATCTTTTTGTAACAGATAGAGCGGGGTAATGTAAACGAATGACAGAGAAAGGACATTGCCAGCTTAGAGTAATTATCCATATTAATTTATAACCAAAAGTTCTTGATCTATAATCTATGGCCAATATCCAACAGTAAGGCTACATATAGTTTGTTCGATACTATTAGTTATAATGAAGTTAGTAAAATAACCTAGTTGGAGAGCGTCGAACTACGCGATGCTGTTGATCGCTTGCTCGCTATATTTTTTTCAGTGTTCATATCTGTCTGCGCGTCGTAAATCATTATTCGGTACTGCTTGGTGTTAGTTGATTCTTTTCAGAAATAACAAACTGTTATAAGTATTTTGATGTAAGGTTTTTTCCTAAGCATATAAAAGTAGAAAAGTGGTTATTTTTTTTTAACCGTTTACATATTATACTTTGTACTCGACTACGACGAAGCAAAAAGGAGGGTTATTATTTTGGCCGGTATGTATGTAAGAATGTTCATTTGTTCCCTTAGAAACTACTCATCGCAACTGGACAAATGGGGTATCATTAAAAGCGTCTTAGTTGTCCGCGTGCTGTAGGCTATGTGGCGCTAATAGCATCCTCTAGAGAGCATAAAGTAAGAAACTAAAAAAATATATTTCTTGCGAATTTACTTAAATACAATGTAATTAACTAATACCTTGTACTTTGATCATCGCTATCATAACATAGCAATCGCTTTAAAACAAATTTCTTGTTTCAAAATTTTTAAAACGTGATTTAGCTGTGGTCTGGTTTTAGTTTTTGAGCTTATGTTTTTTTTTCTATTTTGTAACTCAATCACCACGTCGAGTACATAGCTCTGTTTGTGACAGCAGGTTCAATGTAATAAAACCTTTTTAAATAGGTTTTATGTAATAGAAGAACTTCTTTACTGTCTGTTATTATGCAGATTTTTGCCAGAATAGCACTGTAGTAATTAATTGTTGTTATTTGATCGGTGACGAAAATAAGAAATGCGAATGCCTTGCTGAAGGTAAATGGAAGAAACAAAAATTTATATAAACTGAAGAATAAAAGTCTGGCTCCCAAAATATGTGAGGTATTTTTTTTTATGTATTGACAGTAGTACTAGGGGTTTACAAGATGTTTGAAGTTAGTAGCAGTGTGTTCGATATTTTGGTAGATATCAAGGAAAGAGAGGTGAAACTTGTTCGTCAATTTATTATGAAAGTTTTGAAATTCCTTTCATATTAAAGCCTGATTTTTAAAATTCTGAAATTCAGAGAGAGTATACAGTAATCTCTCTTTTAAGTTGAAACTAAGTTAGGAGTTATCGGTGGCAGTAGAACACTAGAAAGCTATGCCACCTCTGCGATTTTTTCCATCTGTGTACAGTATATCAGATTAATACAAGACGATCAGATGGCATGTAACAAAAAATACAAAACTCATTTAACAAATCAATCATTTCAACTTTTAGGAAGCGACAGTTTAACAGATAATTACGACACTTCAATGACAGATCTTTCGTCTTTGTACGGAATAGGCGTCGTAATCAAAACAACGTATCCCTAACGAAGGCATCTGGCGAGCCCTAAAGAGCGTCTTCACTATGTCCGATTGTTTTTTGCCAACGGAACCACGTGCAAGGCACACGTTACAGGGAGACAGCACAGAAGATGTATTGAGTTGACAATATAGATTATGATAAAATACTTTGTCTTTTGCACAATCCATTCTTAACTTCAAGTTTATTATTAGAGTTTTTAACATCATACGAGTATATTATATGCATATAAAACAAAATTGACTAGAATTTTGTTTTTAAATGCATATGACATTGTTACTTTACGGAAATATTTTTTAAGACGTGATTCATCCGAAAGAATGTCACTTATCAAACTTAGATCTAAACAGATTATAACAAAGAAAATGAACGTTCGTTATCACTAACTCAGTTATCGATAACAATAAAAAAGTCATTAGCTTACATAAAGTAAATTCTATTTTGCAAACCACACATAATTATATCTAAACACATTATTTAAAGATGATTAAGTAGCAAGTCTATTGTTTATAATTTAGAAATTTAGGTTCGGTAGATAGCTAGTGGAAGATATCTGAACTGCCATATATAAATATGATACTGAACCTTGCACACTCGACGGATGATCCGACGCGTACTAACGCATATTTTCTTCCTTAAGACATTTATTTGTATCGACCCTAATATTTTACGAGTATCTCCTAAAAATGTTAAAAAAATCAACCAGGCACTAGACACTAGATCATACTTAAATTACAATAGAATAGTAACAAAATTAGTCACTTTTTAATGTTTTTATTTTGAGAATATATTAAAAAATATTGGTCAAAAATATAAAAGATTTCAATTTTAAGTAATTTATCTAAAAATATTTATATTTGTGACTCGACTCCACGCTGTCTATGTTCAGCGGCCAACAAAAACATATTGTTTGCCACGTGTTGTGAGTTAAACGCCGTTTGAATGCTGAGGGACTGAGGTTCGAATCCTTAGGGGTCGGGCAAAAGTATCTATTCCTGATAAATTAATAAATTTAGTAACATTTCCCCACGACTAAGTTGTAATCGTAATTTTTAATAATTCTTGATGAGCGTATATAAATCTATTAAAAAATAATTACTTTATAAAGTTTCGAAGTATAGGAACACATTACTTTTTGAGCGGCAATTTTCCTTAGGATATTTTCTCTTAATTCATTAAGTACAAGTAATTATAATATAGATATATCTGTAAATATCTTTAAAAATATTTCATCATGCATAATAACAAACGCTTATGTGTGAAAGAAGAAAATGACATCATTCATTCTCAAATCCCTAATCCGTGAAAGATTTTTGCTTATGTACAGTCATCACGTCAGGTCAATACGAAAGAACAAATTTGATTTAAATCCTTCATCTCCTAATCGTTGAGTTCAAAATTGATTGCTCGTTGACCTTTTGAAGTTACTTGCTGCGCTGCTTTGCGTAATAAAAATCGTTGCATAAACAGTTTTGTCGCTTAAAAGCAAACTTTGATTCCGTTATAGAAATATACATAAAGTTTTATTATAGATAAATAAACTACAATGCTTACTCATGTTAGATACATTTGCTCACATTTAAAAGCCGGGACTGAAAGTAACTAATATTATTTTAACCTTCTGAATCAAGATGGTATTTGTTTACAGATTTCTGTAAATAGTGACCCAGATTTTGAATTATCTTTAGCAATTCGTTTCATTTATCTATCTTTACTAATATTATAAAGATTTGATTGTTTGTTTGAATTGAATAATAGCCCCCGTAAGTTTGCCACCTACGGGAAGCTACATAATACGCAGGTGACATAGGCCAAAAATTACGCGGGCAAAGTCGTGGGAAATAATGAGTGACATATTCTTACCCAATTTGGCATTCAAGTAACACATTTTACAATATATTTTATAGATTTTAAATTAAAATGCACCTTAAATGACTACATTATAATAATAAACTATATGATAGGCATTTTATCGCGTTCCCGCCATTTTTTTTTACATTTCTTATTAATCTTATTCCCAAAAACAATACTGAGAATCCGTAGTGAGTCACGTCCAATATCACATAAAACTAATTACGTTTTCATATGCCGCCGTTCTATATTTAATTATATCTCAAAATAAACAGAAATCTGCTTACCAGATACCAGGGAATGAGTACAATTTCACGCACTCCAATCCACCGATAAAAAAAATCACAGAGATAGTTTTCAACAGTTTCAAGTCACTTAACATGGACACTTTAAAAACTTAGGGTTCGGAATAACACTACGAAAATACTGAAGCACTGCACTCGAGGTTGCGTCCATACGCGTCGAGCTTTCGTTAACGACTGAAGACGACAATCTAAGCTTTCAGCGGGAATGCGCGTGCGCCGCAGTCGGTCCTGTGGTAATGACAGCCATCTCCCTCTCTCCTTACTACATCAGTCCATATTTTATATGACCGTTTCCCTCTGTCGTAATGTCGCCTCGTGGAAATTGAAGGAAACATTACTGGCGTCCGTTGCATAACTATAACAGTGCACACTATGATTTATTCAGTCGTTTTGATTAATGACATTTCTGTTTTCCTTCTAATTTTATTTACGGTTCCGCTTTTGACGTTGCGTCTGCGTCGGTAAATGAAATTAAAGATTTTTTTCACAACAATTTATGTATAGTTTCCCGTGTAATCAAACAAGTTATTATGGTTGTAAAATATGTAGCGTTTGTTGGCCTAAATTTAGTCGGGTAATGTAAATATTTTACTCGTATAAATGTTTTCCTAGGCGAAACTGTCTGGATGATTCAGCTAGATCATTAAATTTAATAAAGGTTTGTATTTTTAAAATAATTTTTAATCAGTATATAAGGAACGAGAAGTTTTATTTAAACTGACGAGAAGAATCATCTCAATGTAGCTTTATTACATCGAAATTCAATACGTTCTTAGGCCCGTTATTATACAATAGATTTAACACCATAGCAAAAATTCACTCACAAAATTTTTGAAATTGTACGTCAAAGATTAAAGGAACTTAGCAAACGATATCATACGAGGATACAGGGAAGCTCTATTAAAGCTTTTTTTATATTTCTGTTATCATTAATTTGTTTGATTTATTTCAAATATAATATGATAAAATGTTTACTAATTAAGTGGTGATTATATAATTAAACTTGTCGACTCTACCCATCTAACACCCAGGTCGACCTACTACAGACATAAACTAAAAATGTTTACACACAAAAAAATACAGAAGCTATGTAAAAATTTTAATATAAGCCATATTATACGCTAATATTACCTTTAAATACAATGTATTACCAACCAAATGTAGTTGATGAACAAATTATTAGTATTATTACAATTTTATTCAAGACAAGAAACAGTTTGTATGTAAAATATTACTGCTTTTATTATTTTGCTCTTAATTTTTACTCGCTATAAAACTTCAACAAATATTTATTTAAAAAATGTCGAATTCATGCAGCTGTGATCGAGTTTATATATAAAAACGAATTAGGTATGGTCAGTTTAATTATAATAATTTCAGTACAAATTTAAATTAATGAAGTGTTTTAATGTTTACTGATCTTATTATATTTTAAAAATATTCTATTGCTTTTAATTCATATCGGTTATATTGATCTGATAATGAAATTTATCTGTGATATGTTTTTGTTAACGTCGTCACTTCTGTTGAGTTCCTTTCGTTCATATTTCTTATCAGACAAAATACGTTCTGAACGGGTAAGTAAAAATGTTAGACTATTGTAATGTACCTTTAATACCTAAGTTTTTTCAAAACATTATTTTGACTGTTTACATTTTGAAATATTGTATTGTATAGGTGATTACGGAAGTATAAGACATAATGCTCCCGTAAACAGTTTAGACATAACATATTCCCATTAGATACATTTCCTCTAATATTCGTGGAAGATTTGAAGAGTTAGTGCATTGAAAACTGTTCCGGTTTCCGCGTTGGGATATTGTTAATGGTCCATATAATATTTAGGTCTCGACTATAAATTATAAGCAATTCTTATTACTCAATTTTACGTACAGTATGTACTAATAATATAATTGTAAATAGATATACGAGCGACACAAATGATAGAACTGGAAAGAAATAGTTTAATAGTTGTATAAGTAACGGGGCACCGAAGAAAAAACACTCTCTGGTAAATAGTTTTTTCGTGAAGTACCTATTTTTAAATTTTAAGTAAATATCAATCGAATCATTATCGACTTAATGATGTATAGAATACAGTAAGCATCGATAGGTTCGATTAGACATTTGACCAAAAAGTTTATTCCACGATACGTCGGGATTACCTGATTACTACACTCCTACCTAATATGACCTGCCACGGGCTAGGAAGTGGCCTACATTTTAAAATTATAACATGATCAAGTTATTTTATCAATTATTAAAATTTATACACAATATTATAAATCTCAATAGAGACGACTATAAAATGTAGAGGCTCATTCTTTGGAAACTACTTATGCTCTCCCACCTAACCGGTGAGTGGTGGTAGTGGGTAGGTATGTTGAAACCTTTTGCTGTGGATTTTATTTCATTGGATCTCTAATGCTGTGACAAAACTGTGTTTGACGCCGCATTCAACATTGTATTCCCAAAAGAATAACATTGCTGTATAACTTCTACAACCCGGCCTTACATATATGAATACATGATTTCTTTCTTAATAGGCTTAATATAATCACTGCAATCGATCCGAATTGTATTTACTAAGAATTCAGTCAAAATAATACAGGCAACACTGTAAACTCAGTACAACTATAAAGCTGTTCATTCACACCCATTCATAAGTGCGTGTCGCTTTCACTAGGTATATGAGAGCTTTAAATAGAGCCCATTCACGATATCGATCCATTGAGTAGATCCATCGATATATGGATTGTAACAATAACCGCTGGTGTACTCTACGTGTATGTGTAATGGTCACATCGTGTTGTACTATATTGGATTACCTTGAGCTTTATATTGAACTAGCCCGCGAATTATAGCCCGAGTCAGTCAGCGCGTATGATGAAGTTTCCCGTGGGTGAAACAATTTTTAACAACGTTTTAGGAACAGTTTCAGTGCCTATTCAATTTCAGACAAACAAAATATCAAATCTTTCCTCTATATAATATTATATTCAAATAAATATAATATTAAAATAAAAAACATGCATTGTATTTCAAGTTTACTGGAAATTACATATCCAAAGATATGATTTCCTGCTTATCCAAACAACACCGATCAAAATAGATTGAGTAAAGAAAAGAAAATTGCGGAACTTAAATTACTAAAAATATTTTGAGTTTGACTTTGATAGCAAAAGGATATTTACATGTTTGAAAAAATTTTTGGAAAATAATTGCAGAAACATCACCGCAAAATTATAAATCACTTTTCAATCCGGTAAGATCCTTATTTAGTAAAATTGTCGGAAGTCCTGCATCCCCTAGCGAGAACGTCTCATCATTAATCAGTCATCGACTAGAGAGATCCCAATTTGTAGGAGCGTAACCTACGCGCGCTTCCTGCGTAATGGATACATGCGCACGCGCCGACGAAACGGAAAAAGATGGATTTTTAGGGATTTATTCTTAATCGCCTCTTTGTTCAAGCTGACAAGCGTTTTTTATGACTGTATAAATAAATGCTGCTACATTTCTGTGGGTAACAAAAGTAACACAAAAAATAAAATGAAAGTTCTTGTTAATAAAAATTATACTTTTAAGTTCTATTTACCTTCTCTTTATCTTTAATAAAGTGTAAGAATTAAAAGTTTGATGTTTTGTTAACTGTACTTAGCTTTAAAAAATGCAGCTAAATAACATTGCGGTACGCAGTACTTGTAACTGTTAATAATGGAACCATTGTTCCTAGAGCATAGACGATATTTCTAAGCATATTATTGCATATTAGTGTCACGACTCACGTGCGATTCTTAAGCTTCTTATTTTAATACACATAAGGTTAATTTCAAGATGTAATCGAATATTATATGAATGTGACTGCGTAGGCAATATATTGTGAACCTAGGTTGATTCTACGTAATACGAATAATATTGTGAACCTATTGATTGATAATTTAGTAAAATAATAAAAGTGTTACTGTTGAGTTTCTTGCCGGTTCTTCTGGTATAAGGTCTCCCGCCGTAGATTAACGAACCGATGGCGTAGCTCTCGATTTTCACAAGAGCTTGTAACAGTCTAGACTGTATAAATCATATTGATTTGATTTATCATTTTTCCACAACCCATATTCACGCTAAAATTCGTAAACTACGAAGGGTATTAAAAGCATTTTTTTTTATTATTATATAAGCTCTAGTTAGTATCTGATCATGTAGTGTATACTAGAATGTGAGAGCCTGGCAGCACACACTAAATAATCCATAAACACTCCGCAAAGCCTATGAAGATTCTAAAAAGCTTTTGCGCTTCTGGTCTGGGTTGGGTTGACCTCAGTCACAGAACGGAGTAAGACAGCCAATTTTTCACACACAATGGACTGAGATTGGAGATGCGCAACTGAGCATTTCCATTCCCTACTCGTCCGATTGGGAGGACCCACACAGGCAAAACCCATATCATGGATCCCCCCCCCCCCCCCCCAAGGTCGATGAGCCCTAAAATGTAACAGGCTCATGGCTATCTTTTTGTTATAATAGCAATGTGGATATACTGCCAACATACTGTAGAGACACAGGTACTTTCATATTTATAGGATGTATAAATTGAACGGAATTAATAATCTATATATTTATTTATTTTATTAATCTATATATCTTATACGTTTATCAAATATTTTAGTTAGTAAGTATTTATTAGTATTTTTGTAGTGTCTGGTTCGTATTGTAGTTCTTTTATCAATTTCTTTGTTAATTATTGAATTTTTTTAAATATTTACAGTGGGACCACTTGTAATTGGGGTAAAAACTGAAAATCAGTGCTTTGCTCTTTGAGTAAATACACACTGAGTTTTCGCCCATTTGCATCGCTGCGGTACACATAATGTTTGATTGTCCTGTTTTAGTTTCTAATATTGTGTAAAATCCAAATTGTAAAATTTTGTGTATGCATGATGCAAATAAAGAATTTATCTATCTATTTAAAAACCTTCTTATACTTGCAAAATATATTTAACTTATAAATAAGATAGACATAGTGAATGATTATTAAAAGTAAATATGCGCTTGTTTGCATTTTCCCAGCTTATTTAGAGCAGGACAACCTATTATCTCCATCTAGCCGGTACAATCTATACAATTTAGATAACCATCTAGGTAATAGGATCTCAGTAAACAAAATGATAGACAGCAC